TATTTTTCTTTTGAAAAGAAATTATCCAAATAGAAGGCAATTAAAAATAGTAATATTCAAACACTGAAGCTGCTTTACTATTTAGGTTTGGAGTTGTAATACTTAGCTATTATTCCACAATACTAATCTAAAAAATGTATGGGACAACATTTTATAACTTAAATTTACCATGTTACAGGTATATATTGTATTATAAAACATATGAACCATGATGCCACAATTCACTTTGGCAATAAAGATAACATGTTATTGCCCAGAGGCATTCTAAAAACCTTAGGTTATTAACATTCTTGAAAAATTAGTTCTCAACACTGTTTCCAAGATAATTTTAAGTAGGAAGTCCTTTACTTTTGGGGGAGTGAAAACATAGAGAGCACAAGAAAAGCAGGCATCCAGCATTTTTGTTCTCAATTCATATTCTAGCAAATCTTTTCTCTAGAGTCTTTCTGAGCTAAGACAATTCAAACAAGTCTTTATTTACATTACAGATTTACATTTTTACAGTCTTGGGGCCTGATCCTCTAGTCCTAACTGAGAACCCAGACATCTATGGGAGTATTGCCTGAGTAAGGACTTCGGAACTGAGTCTTGGTGAGATTAATTTATGAAGTTTTTCCAGTGCTCAATTCCAAACAAACTGGAAGTTTGGGTAGGAGATTTTTTTTTCCTGAGTGGAGCAGAACTGGGCAGTTATTAACAGTTTCTAACCCGTTTTATTTCCCCCAATAGCAACTAAATATTGCTAATTCCTCCCAATAAGGAGACCTTCTTCTGAATAATCTTACACAACAGATTTAATTATGGGAAAGATGCTAAACAATATACAAAGGTAATAATGGTGTTAGTGTGAAGCCAAGCAGAAGGCAGGTGGAGATGCACCTTATAGACTAACTGAATCAGAGATGCTTATGCTTCTGGGAGCCTGAACTCACTTCACCGTCAGATGCTGTGAACGGATAATATAACCATTCAATATGATTATAAATTTTGAAGTGCAATCTATGCAAGGTGCAATAATTCCTAAATACAAATGTAAAAACATTCTCAGTAGGGCAAAGCAAACTTTATTTCTAAACTAGAGACAGCATTGTGATTTAGATGGTGGTAATTAATAAATAAAGACAGATCATCTTTCAGTAGATTCTTATGCCATTGCACACACTACTTTGAGATACTATCAACACTATAACATAACATGAAAACTAGCCTGTTACACTAAATACATGACTTAAGCAATAGAAGATTTTACATTTCAAATATGACTTCTCGGGTTTAAATACGAAATGTAATAAAGCACATTTCTCATGCAATCTGGGCCCAATCCTGTTGCTACTGAAGTTGATGGGAAGGTTCCAACTGACTTCAGTGGAAGAAGATTTGGGCCCTAAATAACTGGAACATGCATCTCTTCCTTTTCAATCATACACCATTCCTGCCTCCTCCGGAAAACAACAGGATAAATATTGGAAATGTTTCAAACTACAGACCTAGGTGCAAACATCCTAGCTTTTTAAAAAGAATTCAGAATGATTACTTTGAGCATAATTATTAAAGAGAAATTTACAGACTCTTTTACACACACACACACACACACACACACACACACACACACACCCCCCTCAGCAACACCCCCTGTGTGGGGAAGATAATTTTGATGTTTCCATGAAACATTTTTTAAAACAAAGAACAAACAAATAACTCACCCAGTACTTCATTTTTTTCTACCAGCAAGCAGGCAGACAACATGGATTAATTGTAGGAATTGCTGGTCTTACATTCAGATTTTTATTATCTATCCATTATACATCACCTTCTGTGAGCACTAAAATGCTTTATCTAATTACAGGCTATGGGCCCCATCCTGCAAACCTTACTTATGTGAGCAATTTACCCATTAAAAGAATTCCACTTATTGTCGGGTTTCATATAATCATGCAAACAACCAATTTTAGGTCCCAAACACACTCTTTAAAAAAGAAAAGTACAAGTGAAAATGGCCTTTTGTAAACATAAAAAAGCAGAGGGGAGGGGAGTAGTCATTGGAGTCAAATTTGTACTTGGGTATTTTGTAGCAACTTTCCTAGGCCATTTTCAGTGTTGATCATTAGCATAAGAAGTGCCATATTGTGCCATTGGTTCTGAAGTGTAATTCCCTGCTGCTGAAAAGTGGATGCCTCTGTAGGGTCCACAGTTATTTAAAAAGAGTATATTTTGCAATTTAATAAAATTCTATCAATAACATTATTCTACAATTATCTGTATTGGAAATAGTAAATTAAATCTTACTGTTTTACCCTATGGAATGCTGCTATGTTCCTTAAACAGATACAGTTTTAAACTCAGAAGTCAATTTTATATTTGTTTGGACTTGTGCTGCTATTGGAAGAATTTTTAAAATTATTTTTCATTTGTTTATGTTTTATAGCTTCCCTTTACACTTTCATGTACTAAAAAGTGATTGTATCAATATGTACTTACATCATTTATTTCTGGTAAAAAC